GTCCAGTCAGTGTTTGAGTTTGAGAAAGCCACGAGGAGGAGGCAACCATTCTGCTTTGGAGTTCTATTTAGTAGGTTGGGGCAAGGGGAAGCAAAGTATCTAATTGTTCATGAAGTTTGGGATGCCTATGTTACTGTAGATTGGTAAACTAACCATGAGAGCCACAAGGCCCTAGGGCGGATTGCTTTTCACCATATGGCCTTTAGGGTATTATTTTTCACCACTTGGTCTCTGATAATTTAAAGGTCAATATGCGAGGTGAAGATTATTAGGGGAAACACAAGTGAACCTATTATCGATTCCAGCATCACCTACGGCCCAACATCTAAATCTTACTATAGTGGACGTGTTTCATGAATGATTTCCGAGACCAAGATTCTTGTTTCTCTAGAAATTCCTGTATGAACCACATTACGTGTTTTGCACTTGTTAATTCCCATCCAAATTTTGTTCTTGATGCTTTTGGTACCAAGTGCACCTGCGCTCTTAGATTTGCAAATAGTATTCCATTTATCAAGGTTTGGATGTCTTTCGTTTTGTTAGTTCCCCCAAGGAAAATTCGTTTTTAGCTTTTCTGGAGTGTTTGGGCGTGATTGAGGGTAATTTGAATGTTGAGTACCAATGATGTGTGAATGAGCTGGTTTCCCCAAAGATGGCATTTTTACTGTGTTACCCTGGATAGAATTATATTAGAACAATATGATTAATTGTAATCTGCAGATCCTGATTTAAGATAGTGAGAGTAGAATTCAGTTTATTACAGAAAAATGGGTATGGAATTTTTTGGCTGAAAATTCTAATTAGGTAAACAAGGATTGCATCAAAATGACAAAATTCTAGTGAATTCCTGGGCTAAAATTTTCGGGCATTAAGAATTTTCGTCAGAATTTCAGCCAAAATTTACCCTTTTGGGCAAGTTTTGTTTCTATGGACAAAGTTTCTGCTGATACTCAACATACTTCAGTTCAAAGGTTACCTGAATCTGTTTTTGAAGCTGGATTTCTTGTATTGGTCTAATTAGTCCTAATGTCTGCTGGTTCTTAGGCTTCATGGAACTTTATCATACTATCTGAAAGAACTGACTGTTTCCTTTGATGTATGGTTTGGATCATTTTGTAGGGCCTCCTATATTTGTTGAAATCGGAAGCTTTGGCAAAAGTTTAGTGAAATCTAGAGCTTTAAATTGTGAAAGTTTAATTTTCATTTTGTCTTCAAACTCAGACTTAGAAGAAAGTTGTCCTCGCTTATATCTAGCACTAAATCTTTGTAAGAGAAATGCCAGGATTGAAAGGGACTCTGATCAAGACCCATCTGGGTCTGGAGCCCAAATCAGGTCTGACAAATTCGGCCGAGGTTCTGATAGGCTCGGCCAAATCCTTAAACATTAAAAACCAATGGGAACCAGCCATAGTCCGTGGTTCGCGTGGTTTTGGTTCCTGTATTGGCATTGTGAGTAACGTGTTGGGACCCAACTATGGTCAGCGGTTGCCGTGGTTTGGGTTCTTATCTTGGCAGTCTGAGTAACTTGGGCGAGGCCAAGTTGAATGTCCTGACTTTTGACTCACTGAGAAATACAATCTGTTGAGTTAAGTCTTGTTAACGGGTGCTTCACAATTATAAGTTTTAAGGGAAGGATTGTAAGATTGGCCTGGGATCAACCAGGGCATCTTTGTTTGTCTTTCACCTTCTTCTCTCTATTTATATCTCCATTTATCTACATCACGAGGTGTTAATGGATATTGAAAGGCTCTATCTGTCACTTTCCAAAAAAGATAAACAGTGGTGTCTCTGGTAAGTGAGTTCAAGCCAGGTGGGCTAATTTGGGAAAGTTCTCTGACTTTGCGTAGTGCTTTAAACTTGGTAGTGGCACAACTCTTGTCTCCTCTATCTTGTTGAATATAATGCTGTTGAACTCTTGAAGGTTACATACACAGGACACACACACATACACAGACAGTTGGTTATTGTTGTTGAAAATTACACTTGCACACCTTGCCCGTATTTTGTGCTGCATAAGGCTTGATAGTCTTAATTTGATCTTTAGGTGTCCATGAAGTGATAGTGTTTTTCCAATTGGTACTTAACTTCATTAAATGAGATACTACTTTCTATGTGTTTTGTTCGTCCTTTTGTCTTTCCCAAAAGTTTTCTGCTGATTATCTTTGCATTTTTGTTTCAGTAATGTTGTAAATTTTTTTCATATTTTCAGCTAAAGCTTGGAAATTTGAAATTTGAAATTTCTTATGTGATGAATTATCATGCCATACCAGTATCAAAATGTAGGTATACCCTGTAAAAGAAATTCCTGCAGATTATAATTATGTGATAGAGAAACAAGAATGTAATCGAGCGGAGCATTTTTTTTTTTTGTTTGGTTTTTGTTCAGGTCCTTCAGATATTTTCAATGCTGTCACTGTTTTCATTAGCTTTTCTTTTCTTTTGCAGGTCTCAATAGAGTATGGACTGTGTGAAGCCCTGTGTGGGCCGTCCATAAAGCCAGAAGTGATTCCTAAAGATGGGAATTGGTTCCCTGATGTTTCTGAGCTTGAAGCTTTGTTACCTCAGGGAATTGTTGATCGCTCTGTTGAATGCGTGTACCCAGAGGTCTGTTCTCTCTCTTTCGTTCTCTCACTCTCCATCTATTTCCTGCTTAATTTTGTTGTTAATTGGTTGTGTTTGTTTAAACTGAATCAGTTGATGCTACGGTTCTGTTGTTAATTTTGGTGTTTGTGTAGAATTGAATAGTTGCCGCAATGGGAGGAGGAACAGAAAGTGTCGTGCAGAAGACTCAAAAGAGTCATTCGGTCTCTTGCAGACAAATTCCCCAAGGAAAATCTCTTACTCATCGCTCATGGTAACCCCTCTCTCTTTCTCTCTCACCCACACAAACACAGGCATATTTAGATTCATCAATGTACTCAAACAAAATCAACTTGAGTTTGTAAAGTGTAATATGTAATTGCTGTGGAGATAAGCGATGTGACCTAAAAGTGGAATACACAGAATGAAACAAAAATGGTTTAGTGAATCATCAAAAACCACACCTGGTTTTAAAGAGACCAAAGAGCTGGACATAGAGCAGTTGGTGATCCAGTTTCACATGCCAAGAATAGTAGATAGAAAATATACCCCCTCTCTCTCTCTTAGATCTGCCTCTCTTTTGCTTGTCGGTGCAGTGGCAGGAGTTGCAGTTGGAATGAGAGCTTTCTCCAAAAGGCCAGTGATCGTTGACAAAGTAGGTTACTGTTCCTATGCATGCCTTCAAAGGTCGGCCTCTTCTCCGTCTGATTTGGAGACCCTAACAAAGAAATCTCGGGGTGTTACCTATTGCATTGAGGGAGAGCGTTCGCCAAAAAGCCAAGGATCATTGACAAAGTAGCTTACTGTTCCCATGCATGGCTTCAAAGATCGGCCTCTTCACCTTCTGATTTGGAGACCCCAACAAAGAAATCTCGGCGTGTTACCTATTGCATTGAGGGAAAGGGAAAGAAAGAAGAACATGCAACAGCATGGAATACATCCCACTAAAAAGAGTCCTCAAAAGTAAATTGGAAGGGGGGCAGGGGGGGATAGTGGACTGTTGTTTGTTTTAACTCTATTAGATCTCTATGCTCATGCTGTGTTGAATCATGGGTTTGAATGTTCTTTTTTTCTTATTTTTTTGAAAATGTTAACTTGTACAGAAAATGAACCCCGCAAGGGGTTGCAGAGGCAGAGGCCCAAACGGGCAGCAAAAAAAATCCCAAAAGCTAAGCTTTACACGTGCTCTCAAAATATCCAAGGCCTGGCTTACCCAAATTTATCTTATAGACTGGGCCTAATGACTTTGATGTTATTTCTTACCTGTTATGTTTGGTGATGATTAGGGTGTTTCATTATACCAAAAGTAATTTGTCTGCCCAATATAGAGAGTAATAGCTAAATACCACATTTATGGAAAATTGGAAATTAGAATGATCATTCTTCTTTATATTGTAACATGGGTAGAATTTCCAAACTGAATGCGCCTTTTAATGCCTTTAACAAGGCAAACGAGCTGGAGTCAGTATTGAAGCATCATATAAGACCCCCTTAAAGCTTTTAGATGAATCTACTCTCATTAAAGTTTGTTTTGTTGCTCAATTATGGCTTAAAATATTTGGAGACGGAGGGAGATATTTGTTTATTGCTCAATTATGGCTTAAAATATTTGGAGAGAGAGAAACTAGGTTACACTTATTACTCGTTTCAGTGAAGAGAGAGGGGGTTTGTTGTAATGTAAACTAGGGAAATTATAACAAATATATTTTAATTTTTATCTATTCAGAGAAAACTCTATTTTTTTTCTTCAATTTGGAAACTATTTTTTTAATTTTTTTTTAATCAAAATGGTTTTTTCGGTAGTTGTATTATTGTGATGTACCAGTACGATAATTTTACTACCGTAATTTTTAGATTATTGTAAAGTCTCCATCCTTTATTACAATATGCAAATTACAGTAATCTCACAATCCATAGCACTTTGACTTAGAGAGAGAATGAATAGTGCAACCTTTATTACGGTATTCGAATTACTCTAATCTCACAATCCATGGCGCTTTGAGAGAGAAAATGAATGGTGAGTTGTACGCCTCTCATCACCAACGACGGACAGAAATAGGGAGGGCTGGCGTTTTGGGCTTTCGCTCTCGCTCCGTTCCCATCACAGTTTTTCCATAATTTGGATGGTGAGTAGCACGCCTCTCTCTCGCCTCTTTCTCTCTTGCTTTGGTGCGATGCATTCGTTTGACTTTTTTGTTTTTCTTTGATGTTCGCTCGTCTCTTTCGAACCCTAGTTCTTGTGACTTGAGCTTTTGTTGATGAATTCAAGCTCCTGTCTGCTTAGTGGTCGAGCATTTGAGTCAAGGTCTCAACAGTGGTCTCGCTCCCAACCCCCACCGCCATGCTAAAATTGTAGAGACAGACGTGGGAAGATCGGAGGGTGAAATTGGAGGGAAAACCCAAAACACTCGCTCTTCTTATTTCTTAATCCATTTTCTCTCTGTTTTATTGATGAAAGTCAAAACTCCATAGATCTTGAGATTACAGTAATTTGAATACCGTAATAAAGGTTGGAGATCTTACGGTATTTTAAGTATCATATAAAAAATTATAAAATTATATTAGCGATATACAGCTCTGATCGTCAAATCGGCCCAAACTTATACCATTCCATAAGCTAGTGGGCTCACCCTAGCATCTTCATATATATATATATGGAAAACTCTTCCCAATGCCTATAGGTGAAAATGAACAATGATTGCGCCTACCCTCATCATCATCCAAACTTCATCGTACAATCACAGTTGTCCGATAGTAATTCAATTTTAATATTTTTTTTACAAATCCAAATTACTTGAAAATTGGATTGTGTGAACATCTTACTGAGACGCACCTAATAAAAATATAAAACAAATAATTCTCAGATCGGAATTTGGTAGTATCTTCATATATATATATCACAAATTTTGAGTTTTTTATTTTAAATTTATGTACCAACGATTTCACATATCTTTTTCCAATTTTTGTTTTTGAAAGTCTCTTATTTTAGACAAATTTGGGCCAAGAACTCCCTTATTTAGATGAACTTTTCATTGGATATTTGACCCAATTAAAAAGGTTAATTTCGTACAAGAACTAATTGGACTATAATCACATTTGTTGGGGAGGTAATGTAAAAATCACCTCCTAATGGCTTGTGACATTTCCTTAATTTCAAAAGTATTTTTGGTCCAAATGAAAGAATGCTTTTTATGGAAACCTTGTAACCCATTTAGAAAGAGAAAACTGAGACTTAAGTGAAGGAGATATTTGTAAAAAAAAAAAAATGCATAAAAGTTTGAGGAAAGAAATTAGGGTTTTTTGTATAAACCCTATCACCATTGTCGCTTCGTATTGGACCAATTTGTCATCATCAATTTCTTTGCAGAGAAGGTTGCGGTTGATGGTGATAAAAAGGGAAGTCGATTGATGGTGGTATTGTGCTAGGAAATGTTTATTTGAACTTTCCATGCTATTGTATAAGGTAATATCTACAAAACCTCAAAATTTTAAATTTCTTCTAGTAATAGTGAATGCATTATTGCCGTTTTTCTATAGACATCGCCCATTTGGGTGAACCACGTAAATTCGTATGTGTCTTCTATTGTGGTTTCATCATTTTTCATATTGTTTGTTTTCTTGTTTCTATATTTTTCTCAAATATATTGCACAAATATTATTATTTTTTGATATTTTAATTGGGGATGATCAAGTAGAAATTTAAGTTATCCCGATTTGCCAAGAAGAGGTTATCGTTATAGCTTCATGTGTTGACGAGTTATCCGATTTGCCAACAAGAGGTAATCGATATACCCTCGGTAACCAACACACTAACTCCAAACTCTCCACCAGTTGTCATATAAGGATGCCTAACTCAAAGAGATATAGCCAAACATCAAACAATACTAGGCTGTAAACCCCACAAACATCTACATTGCCGCATCCCAAAATAATATAAATGCTAGGAACCAGTGTTTGATAAATCGGACTGGACTTGGAAACCGGCAGATTCACCCGGCTTAACCGGGCATATCCCCGCAAGTCCAAAAATTGTTAAAAAAAAAAAGTGCAGAACAAATCCAAAAAAATATTAAAAGTATATTGAAAGCATAATTAAACGAACACATCAAAATGAAGTTGAAACGTAGTGAAAAAAATTGATTTGTCCCAAAGTTTTTTTTTCAATTTTTTTTAAAAAAGATGGAAAAATATAAAAATAAGCCAAAACACTTCCAATCTTTTGTCAAAATGATAAAAAAAAAACATTCAAAAATGCATTCTAAACAAATCCCTTATTTTTTGGGATTACATACATATTTTTTAATTTATTTTTAAAATATCCAGCCAAACCACCTAAATCGGTCTAGGTTTTACCAAAAAAACACTTCCAGTTTGACTGGCCAGTTACGAGTTGGACTGGCCTTCTTTGCGAACACTATTAGGAACAACTATTACTACTGTTTGTTAGCTATCTCGATTTTCTTTCATTATTTTTCTCGTTTTTTTTTTTTAGAATATAATGAATCAATATTTTCATATTCACTTTAGAGTCTTTTTTGGTTTGACGAGAAAAATGAAGCAATTTGGTACTTCGATCGATTCGGGAGAAGTCTTCGGATTTTTTTAAATAGAATATAAATAAATTAGATATTTATATAAAAATAACAAAACATATACAAATAAAATTTCAAAAAAAAAAGTTTCATAGATATTTTTGTGCTTAGCCTGAATCTGACTGAAGCTTCGGTTAAATCTGCTCGAAGCAAACCCGAATCTAACCGAAGTGGCAGCTCCAGGCTTTGCTTCACTTCTATCTAGGCTTAAAATCCGAAGGTTTTGGCCTCTTCGGCCAAAACGAACAAGTTTAACAACATAATGATGAATCCTAAACCATTTTTTGCAACTTAAGTGTTACATCCCCGACATGTTTCTAATTAGCCTGAAGAAAAACGAAGAATTTTTCCATAATAAATTTATGGGAGAAAATGTATAAAATTAATTTATTTTTAAAGAAGTTTTAGATTCACAAAAAGAATAATGATCTTCCGACACCCTCCCACACCCACATTCATGTGTATAGAACTTCAAATGATCACCATTAAAATAGGTACAAATCTCTAAAAAAAAAATTATCATATAAATGTAAGATTCGATTTTTTTAAAAATTTGTACTAAATTTAATGGTTATCATACACACATGGGTGTGGGACTCTAATGATCCTATAAGACCCTCCCACACCCATATGTGTAGGACGCCAAATAATCACTATTAAATTTGATATAAGTGATGAGATAACTTTTTTATTACTTGGATTTTCTTTTATACAAAATACATCATCGCTTATTCACATAAAAACCTCTCCACAATTTATCTCTTTTACATTGCCATCCACCACATACGTGGACACGCACAAGACCACAAGTGCCAACAAGCTGCCGACATAAAGAAGCACCGCAAAGCATTCTTCTCCTTCATTGCGTGTAGGAAGGGCAGGAAACATGGCGTCAGCTTCCACGAAAAATCAAGAGGCATAACTTCATCTCTTATCTTATTATTATTTTTTTCTTTATCTCATTTTATTACTCACTTTGTTAATGTCGAATCGATCGTGTTTATGGGAGTCGATGTTTTTCAAATTGTTTCTGATTTTCTATATTTTAAAAGAGTATAATGGGAGCAATGTTATCGAGATCGGGTGAGACCGGTCAGGCCATTCTGTCGAACCACAACCATTTGTATGTTGGTTGGGTCCGGTCCGGTCGGGTCATCGAATTGAAAATATCATAGGACTAATCAAAATTGGTTTTTGACCGATGCCACTGGCCAGTTGTACGAGCCTTTTTCTTACCCTTTTAGCTTAGTTTTGCTTCGAACTTCTAACCTTTTCTTGCTCCTTCGTCTTTCACTTTAAACCTACGTATCACTAAACCATATCTGATAGCTCTTTCTACTGATCTAATATTTTTAAAGTTTTGTTAATTCAAAGTTTGGAGCACCTTCAAATAGTGCCCAATTATGTTGTTTCAGTATCATAAATCTTTAGGATGGCCTAATAATATATTTTTATCTCTAATTGTAAAATTTGAAATTAAAAAATAGTGTAGATCGAGCATATATATGAACCCTTGAATATCTTGAAAATTGACAGTTTGGAATTTTTTTTAAGACTTGAATTTTTTTTTTTATGTTTATCTATCTTGAGGTCGAGATGATCAAATTGAGGGTTTTCCAACCGAAATGACATTTTCTAATGAATTTCTGAGATGCGCCTTAATTTGATTGTTTATGGCCTCACCTTTATATAAACTTTTTATGCCCAAGTTCCCCAATTTTTAACCCAAATTGGGAACCCTAAAAATTCTTATGTTTCTGCTCCTTTTCATTTTGGCAACCCACTTTTTCAAATTTCAAATCTCTAATATAATTAGACTCATTTTTTCAATATCTTTATATAAGAGATCAACTGTTTAACATTTTACATTATCGTAGGTGTATCTATGTGTGTCGAACATATCTTCAAAATTTTATTTTAATTAGGTTTTAGAAAATAAAATAAAAATATAATCAATCATGACTGCCTTTTCTTTTTTCCTTCTAATTTAAATAATTGGAGGATGCTTGTACGATATTTAGAAAGGAATTGTATACTATATGATAATTTATGTTTAGAACAAAGAAGTTACAACTAATCCTGACCATCAAATGTTAAATCAGACTGTTTAAAATACTTCAAAAAATTAAAATTTTTTTTTTTTTTTGACGATTCCTTAGTAAAACCATATAACCACTAGTGGCTATCAACAGTGGTATTCCATGTGTACTTGTAAACCTACAACTATTGCCACCGCACCACCACTAACGCACCACCCTCACTGCCACCACCGCAATCACCATACTACCACCACCACCTACAGGCACCACCACCACCACCACCACCACCGACTCCATCCATTGCCACCTACACACCACCGCCTAACCAAAACCGCGGCCACCACCACTACTATCGACCTGAAACTGCCGCTTCCACCACCTACCCGCCACCAACACTGCCACCACTATCACCGCATCTCCACCACCACCACCATTATATCACATAATAACAATATATAACTCAAATTGTGACGATCAAACAATCATATAGAACACTCGACCGTCAACTAAATTGCCATTTGGTTAATTACAATTTGAAAAAAAAGAACTTTCGATAGAATTTCGCAATCAAACGGTCCTTTTTTTCAATTCTCTCATCACTCAAACACTCGCTGCCACCTAAATTGCCACACGCCAAAACATTTTTACTCAGAAGTTTCATTGAATTTCTTTTGTCTGAGCTCTTTTTAATGATAATTTTGTCTGGCTAGATTATTGTAGATGGGACATCAAGTGTGAGGACACTAGTACTGAACAGGCCACAGCAATTAAATGCCCTCTCATATCAAATGGTATGTTTGGGCTTTTTTTTTTGTCATCATATGCTTTTCCCATTGTTATATCTTTATTGTATATGAATTTGCTGGCACTTTTAAGAAGAAATTCTTAGTGGGCAAATAATGATCATTCTTAAACCTAGAAAGTAAAGAGAAACATAAAGGAAAGGGCAAAGTTTTTGCTGCCTCAAAACCTATCTTGGGTATGGATAGGGGATCTGAAACTCTACATATCAATCTTTAGTTCTACAATCATGAATATGAAGAAAATAAAAATAATAATTATGATTTGGAGCTCTAAAAACTTGTATGGGGCCGTCAACAGGGCTGGGCTGGGCCGGGCCACGAGGTTTCGAACTAGTTTCTAGCTTCCATACAAGGCCCAGGCCTAGCCTGCTCGGCCGAAGAGCCCAGCCCGTGAATACTTTTATATATCTATTTGATCATTAAATGTATAATATTCTTTATAGTACATGACATTATATTTTAGATATGTAACAGCCCGGCTTGGCTCGATGGTAACCTTTCCGGGCTGGACCCAACCCGAAATGATATGTAACCTAGACATGTCTATTAGGACCAGGAATCCATTCTATTTTTTTCATGTATTCTGACTTTATCCTTAATGACATATTTACAGATTTCTAACTTACTGGAAAAGTTCGTATCATACGAGGATGATCCTAGTGTCAAGCTAGTGATTTTGAAGGTATGCAATTATAATCCTAATGTCGAGCCATTGAAAAGGAAATGGATTGTATATAATGAGATCATTTACCTTTGATACAAGGAGGTCACAATTACTTATGACCATCGAATGTGAAATCTGATAGCTTAGGTGTGTGACAATTAAGTAATATTCATGTTTAGTACAATATGCAAATTTTCCTCTGTAAGTCCTTGTAGAATTGTTAATAAAATTTGCATTTACCCATCTTTCGCCGAAATTACGTTGAAATTCTCTAAGGGAAATTTAACATAATACACGTAAGAGATGATCTATTTAACATTTTACTTCTATCTTTTGTTTTAATTTTAAAAAGCTAATCAAATTAGCTATGTTGAGGTGCACTAGATAAATGTCGGTAAAATATTAAATAGTTTATCAATTAGGTGTATTTTGACAAATTTCCCTTTTATTAATACATTAGGTACTGCCAATGAATGGCTCTAAGACATCTTTGCTAACAAAATAGGCAGGTTTCACTTATTTTTCTTATTGTATAGGTGTCAACCAAATGGCGATATCTTACCCTACAATGACCACCGAGTGACAAGTCCCAGTATTTAGGGGTGACAATGGACCCGGAACCGACCCAGGATCCGAGGGGTAGACCCGATCTAGGTCCGGCTATGGGTCCGAATCTTGGATGCGGCGGGTCAGGTCCGGGTTTAAATTTTGGACCTGAACACTATTCGGGGTCCAGTAATACTTTTCAGTTCCCAATAAATAAAATATATTTAAATATAATTAAATTTTAAATAGATATTTTAATTTTTGGGTTGAGTCCAGGTCTGGGTCCAAGTCTAGGTCCCATATCATTTTTTTGGGTCCAGGTCTGGATCCGGCTTGACCCAGACCCGACCCGACCATACCCGATCTGTTGCCACCCCTCTCAGTATTGGAGAGATAGGGCCATAAAGCTCTTAAACACAAAATTCATCATGAATCTTGGATAAAATACTTGTTTTGTGAGCCAATTGTCATATATAGAGATTGGACCTTTGAAAAGGGCAATGGGACTATTGTATGTAATGCATCTCGCATAATAGGAAACTTTTTGTTAGTTCTATTTTATTTTGAGTAATTTTGGCAATTTTGCTGTTATTGTAACATGTACAACCATTATCAAGTAATTTGAAATATACTAAGAAACTCATACATGTTTCTTTTATGGTACAATATAGAAATTTGATGATGCAAGTTCATGTTATTTACGTCTGATGCCCCATAGGGACAAGGCCGAGCATTTTGTTCTGGGGGCGATCTTTTGTCCGTGGCTCAAATAGGGACTACAGAAGGTAAAGTACTCTCATGATCATTTTTTTCATGTCTGATGCCCCATAGGGACGAGGGCGAGCATTTTGTTCTGTGGTGATCTTTTGGATGTGGCTCAAATAAGGACTACAGAATGTCAAATAGTTAATGTATTCCTTGCCTTTTTTTCTTTTTCTTTTTTGTGGTCATTTCATGCACTTATTATAGAAGTTTATTGAGTTCACATGGTGAAATCAGGTTAGAATTCATTTTATATTGAGTTTGATCATTCTATGAAAGCTTATTGAGTTCACATGCTAAAACCAGGTTAGAATTCATTTTATATTGAGTTTGATCATTCTATGAAAGCTCGAGTATGAAACATTCTATGAGCTATGTCTCGGTAAATGTCTCTTAGGCTTCGGCTTAGTCGTAGACATATCAATTTGGTTGAGGAAAGTCGAGGCTGGGTAAAATGCCCTAAAGATTGTCCCAAAAGAGCACAAACAAGCTGATCCTAGCAATTTTTTTTTGTGTGTTTATGTCAGGTCGTTGGGATGTGTGTTCAAAATATTTTAGGGTAGAATACACCTTAAACTATATTATGGCAACAAACGAGACCCCCCAGGTAAGGGATTTTCTATTGATTGTAAGCATATATATGCCTTGTTACTGTGTAATATTCTACTTTAGTCATTAAAGCAAAAAAAGATACTCTTATTCATAGATTTTCCTCAAATATGAGTTCTTCCTAATTCGAAAACATTGTATAAGGTTTCCATTCTGAATGGGATCATCATGGGAGGTGGTACTGGAATTTCTATCCATGGGAGGTTTCGAATCGCCACTGAGAAAACTGTACTTTCCTCTCTTTTACTCAAGTCTTTGATTGTACGCTTATTGATAATCTACTTGCCATGATTACAATTCCGCTTGATTTTTAATGGAAAAAAGAAAAAAAAAAATAGTTAGTTGTCAATACATGTCAAGTATGTAAGGTATGATTATGAATATGAGGAGGCCATTTATCAGCTCAATATATTTTCTTCTTTTATTTCACCCATCCTTTTCATGTTAAGACAATCATTGTTTTCTTGGTGGGGTGATTTCCTACTGATTTTTACTTTTGGATTTCAATCTTAAACAGTACTTTGCGATGCCGGAGACAACACGAGGAATTTTTCCGGTTGTGGGTGCATCTTACTTTTTATCCAAGCTCCCAGGTTTCTTTGGTATGGTTTCAATCTTCAACATGGTTGCTTTTTGTTCTATTTTTCCTTTATGCATTTCTTTTTGGTTTTAAAAAGAAAAAAATACAAAGAATAACCATATCATCTTATGAATGCAGTTGCTGTAACTCAGAAAAGGAAGAAGTAAAAAGAAAATAAAAATAGAAGCAAAATATAGGGGGGATGTTAGGAGAGTCCATAAGCTATTTCCTTATTCCATTCTAGGTGAGACTATAGTGATTGTAATTTTATTTTTTGAGCAACACAAGTCATGAGTACTTCTCTAAACTTATCAAGTAATAATGCATTGGTTCATGGTTGAGCCTCCAGTATTGAAGTGCAAATCTAAGTAGTAGCTATTGTCTCCCTTGCATTAGATAAGTACAAAAGCAGTAGGAATTAGACTGAACAGTGCAATAGCCATAAATATGAGGATTTTACTTCCATAATCTCATTCTTTTTGTTTTATTTTGCAATAACTCGGGATCTATTCCTACAAATATGATAGATCCTTCTCCAAAATATGTAAATTAAATGGAATTAATTGGTCTTGATGAGATTAAATTAGATTAATATCATGAAGAACAATATCTTTCAAATTAATTCATCATCAAGAATTGAATAGTATGAGATCCGTAGAGATGACTCATGTTGGGAACTGGAATATATATTAGTGCAAATAATCAATTATTTTGTACTTATACACTAGCAAGCCAATGGA